TAATGGCAGTCATAGTGGATAATGACCGGGCTTGGTTTACAAATACAAGTGTGTGTTTGGACAAACCTTATCCAAAAGTGTAAATAACTTGATTTGTGTAGGGAGCTACCCAGACCTGCGTTTATAATCTTCTGTTACTTCACCGCGTAGCAACGTTGTTTCTTTTCTTTAAATTTGACTGTGTACCCACGCCTGTATTGGCAAGAGTTCCAGCCACTTGCACTGTGATCATATCTGTTGAAGACAGATAGGCCTATGCAATGGCCTATCCAGCAGGGGGTAGGGGCAACTTGACCCACCTCCACCCCCGGCGTATTTTTTTTTTACAAAGAATACTTCCTAGGTAAGAAAGTAATCGATAAAATTATATGTATTTATCAAATATTAGCACCCAAAACCTAAGAAAACAACACCGTGAAATAAAAGCAAAGATGTCGAATGTTTTGATATCCCCAGCATCAGGTTGAAATACCCTGAAGCCGCATTCGCTTTTGAATTCCCCCCGCCCGGCCCCGAAACCAAAAGCTGGATACGCCAATGCAGATATGATAAGAGTGCTTTCAAGGCTATGTTTTATAAATTATAATGAGACTTTCGGACACTGTTTCGACAACAACAAAGGGCAGTTTACGTTAACTGCTCATGAACACGGCCGTGAAGATTGCAGGGAGCTGACAGATCGCGACATTCGCTGCAGGGCCGATCTCCCAGTCGACCATCAGCTCCGTTGATCATCGTTGATCATCATCGAGTCTTTTCATTTGTCGTACATTGGAGTCGACGTCCTTTAACAGACAGGGACGCCGGTGCCCTCTTCATCGATGTCACTGCAAGCGATCCAGGTGTGTTTAGGAACCTGTCCGTGGAATATCTCCTTGAACAGTTCCCATATTGCATCTAGTTCCATTTGAGAACGAGGCACGGCCAGCTTAGCTTCTTAATTTCGACACATGCTTGATTGTAGCGCCCTCCCAAGACAATCCAGTCGTCAACGGCAACTTTTGGTTTTCCCGGTATTGTCAACGTCAAGATCAATAACTGAGCAGGTAAGTAGTCTATTCAAATGCTACACCACGCCTGCATCAACAACATGGTTGTGTTTTTGTAGAAGTGTCTAAATGTGTCTTTTCCTATGGAAGACCAAAATGTGCGCAAAGTCCACCCTTGGTCAGCCGGGGTGACAATTTCTTGCCTCAAAATATCATTTAAACAGCCGCAGCGTTAATACAGACGGCAGGTAGGAAGGGAGGTATTTCCATTGACTGTTTAATGGTGATTTTCAGTATTTGGAGTTCTCGTGTCCTTTTTCCCCCGATAATTACAGTCAGCCATTTTGAAACTTTGGTTTGTTAACAATTTGATGGAAACAGTCACATTAATTAATTCAATTTATTCGGCGAGGCTTTGTTCAGTTCTTTCTTCAGAAAATCCCATTAAATCCTATTTGCTATTAGTTTCTAATTAGTTTCTAAGTGGAATTTTTAGTGCTCTGTAAAAAGACTTTATAATCGTAATTTTTCCTGTGCGCACACGAGATCGCCGTTTCTTAGTATGGCCTCCTCCCATCATAAGTATTATAAAGTACATTGTCGGTGTTCTAGGAGCTAACCTGTGCAATTTTGTAAAAACACGTACCGATGTTCAATGAATATGTATACTGTACGTACATGTACACCACTGAACTTCGTCATAGCTTGGAGTACTACCGAAAGAAATGGTGTCCAGTTGTGTTGGGAGTCATGCAAGACAAAGTGCAGATTCCAAAGAGAAAGAGATCTGGTTCTTCAGATTTTCCAAGTGCAGAAAGCAGCGAATCGAATGCATGGGCACAGCACCGGTACATGTACGATGCAACACGATGCAACATGCATAATACAGCCGAATGTTTCCGTGTAGCGAATCAAACACTAAACCCAGCTGTTAATGCCATGAAGTATGCGCATTGCCAATGAAGCGCTTTATCTACGTTCAACGTGAACGGAAATGAGCCTCCAGCTGGACAGAGAGAGGGCGGCATTTTCTGAGCAACGGTAGCTCCTTGGACCTTGGTCGGAACTGCTCTTTGGCTCCGTTGATCATCGCCGCGCTGTTGGCAGCGTTGTCGTTATCCAGCCAGTTGCCTTTCCAGTTCTCGTAGGCGCTTGAGCCGTCGCCCCTTAATGGGCAGGGACGCCATTTTCCCTCTTCCTCTATGTCACTGCAAGCGATCCAGACGTGTTTAGGGACCCATCCGTGGAATATCTCCCGGAACATTCCCCATATTGCATCTTGTTCCATTTGAGACTGAGGCAAGGCCAGCTGAGCTTCCTTGGCGACACTTTCCAGACTACCATCCTCCCAAGTTAATGTAGTATTATTGGCAAGTAGCAGATCTCGTTATATCGCCGCCACTCCGCAGGACAGCCTGTGGCCTGGATGGCGTGCAGTCCAACCAAAAAGACGATAGTTTCAAAAGCATGCATATCCGTTCGCCCCCCCCCCGGCTGCAGCTTGTCAGCAGCATGAATCCTTGAGCCTTTGCGTACTGATTCAATCCGCGGTTTCGACGTACCTTCTGTTCAAGTTACAAAATACGCGAAACGGCGAAAGATCAATGAAAGTCAACAGTTTGGTATTGGAAGAGCAATATCCTTAACCTCATTACTATTTCCTAAAGGCCCCCTGCCCCCCAAAAAGTCTCCGTTTTCTGGTCAGCGCGCACGTCGCCGTAGACCTGCACATCGGCAATATATTAGGGTTTATTATTATTTTGGTATAAAACGATGTTCAAAAGCTGTCAAACCTGCTTAATCGACTGGAATCCTGCTACTGCGTAATTTTAACGTGTTTTCGATGGGGTGCGGTTGTCAGGGCAATATGTACAGTAAAGGAGTCCCTGTATTTCCCCATACATTTAGTCGGGCACTCTTTTGCAGATGACGTTATTTCTGAATTATACATTTATATTTGGGAACCAGACAAACGAGGAGGTCTTATGTCCCGTATACATGTACAAGCTGCAAATGCTTTGAAACAGTAAAAGTGTGTGGCCAGTATATTTTAGTGTGGGTAGAGGCCGGATTTACGTACGCAAGCAGTCGCGATGAACATCACTCGTTATCGTACCCACCACTTCACTTACGTCAAGGCGAACCACTTCGCGGGTTCAAATAATATGCCACGTCGATGTCGACGTCGTTGTCGTATTCTTACTAATAGTGTTGCGTCATCTAGTCTTTCCATCAAACATATTCAGCACGTCCGTTGTGCCTTACCTTAATTAAGTGTACGTTTTATTTGATGTTCCCTTCAATTTTCAGCATGGTAATGCATGTGCTCCATATTCTTGTTTTGTCTTCCCTGTGAACACATAGAGCACGGTCATGCACTGTCCCTCTACTACTCTGTACTTATGTTTGTGCTAGCGGTAATAATTACAATTTACCATTGTGCTGTTTTATTGTCACTTCCTTGTGAAATTTTTTCTCGTTTTACAGTGTCTGAAATTGTTGAAAATCCATTAAAATATCATAATTCAAAAATTTACACGCACACAAAATATGTACAGCAAAATGTTCACAAATTCAGAAATATATACAACATGAATTGAAATCTAAAACAAACGATGTAAAGGGTCCATGTGTGACATACATAACTGGTAAGCATTATAATTTGTTTAAAAAATCAGCTTTAATTAATACATTCTTAAAGCCTATCGTTAAGGATGCGAACCACTGTGGGATAAAACCTTAGTAATGTGCGATTAGAACCGGACCTTATTGAACGATAGCGGTGTTTTTGACCGCATGAGCTGGAAATGATCATGTGTCGGATGGAACTTGTCCTCTACGGTACACTTGGTTCTCTTTTTAACCCGAGAATGATGCAAATCATCAAGTGCTCTAAGTTGACACGCAATGATCTTACTTGCAGTGCAAACAAAACAAAGGAAAGGAAGCTTCTCGCGATATTTCCATTGTCCAAAGAACAAACAAAGCACTGACAGTGTGTGTGCCATGTGATAGGCATATATACCTGCGGGCTATACATAAAGGGCCTATATTTGTTTCGCACGACCTGGATCCCGATCAGTGGTCCCAGCGCTGGGTTACTCCATCTGTTAGGCGGATTCGGGTGTCAGTGAACCAACGACGGGCTACTGGTCGAGATTCGGATCCGCTTGAAACAAACAGGCCTAAATTTTTCCTCGCCACAAATTATACAAGCGGCCTGGAGCTGTACTGGTAGTCACCGCTGCGGATCGTGATTCACTGGCGCAAGGACTCCTACGTAGGACACGCCGGCTTTGCAGCTCGCATAGCTCTCTTTCTCTTTTTTTTCTGTAATACCAAACGTTTACAACTGGATGCATAACGTATGCCCTCTGTCTGGAAATACATGCAGTTCCATTGCGCCTCATTCGCTCCCATCAGCCAGCAGGGGGCGCTATGCTCTACACTTCACCAGTGAGAGCTAAGAGAGCCGCGACATAAACGGTACTTGAACCAAAGTGACGGATTATGTATCAGTGCACGTAGACAATTAGCATACAGCAGCTGAATGCTGTACTGCACACATCATGAACAGCCATTTTAGTTAAGTCCGAAATTGATACTTTATAGGTCTATACAGTTCTATGCTTCACCACTGCAAGGTGTTTTAATACCAACGCCCATGTATTGGCCTATTCACTCGCTATTATGGGTGATCAGTCTGCGTCCATGGACAGTTTTTGACAGAACTTTGTATATTTCTATTGCCTTCTGATACTTTTGCAAGCTGTTCACTGACTGGACTGATCGGAAATAAAACAAAGTTGAAAAGTCCACAATGAAAACTGGGGACAGAATCCCCCCCCCCGACATTTTCTGTGATATTGTCACAATCATTCCCAATTTTGATGAACACAATCATTCCCAATTTTTATGAAAATGTCAATTTTTCAAACAAAGCTCCGCTTAGGCTAAACTGTCAACTTTTCCCACTAATGTACTCATCAGTGCACCCGTATTGACACGCACGAGGCTAGGAAATTACTATAGTGACCCTAACAGCCGAGTTCACCACCACCCCTCACTGTGAGTTGGTTCGAAAATCAACCGGTTCTTTCAGGGTTTAGGAGTTCAGGGCTTTGACGTCGTCCTATAGCTATAGAAGCCTTAAGTCAATGCATATGCAGTGCGTTTTCTTTCCCGCGATCGCTGCCTAATGTTTTCACTGACGGTAGGCAAGTGCCTGTTTGTGCCGTCTGATTCACAACAAAAGGCGGGGTCGAACTCAGACACTATGTCCGTGCGGGAGACTGCCTGCCCATGTTTGCGTACGCCTGAATGATCGTACAAAATAATATGCATACATGTACAACCCGTATGCAATGTACATGTACACATGTACGTGCGCGTTGAAGCCAGCCGCATACAGCGAGGTCTCTCAACGTGAAGAAAACAGTTGTATCACCTTGTACAAAGCACTGAAGTCTGAAAACAGCTCTGTTTGAAGGAGGAAAACTATGCAGTTGACACTTCCATGTCAGGACTAAGGCTTAGGCCTCATCGTATCACACAAAATATTTCAAACAAAGACGGTTTCACTGGCCCCGCGGTCTGTGCGTACACTTTAGTTCCTGGGTGAGTGTTCAGTCTTTACTTCACTACGTCATGCGATAAATTTGTCGGAGTTTATCATTAACCAAATAACCCCTCGCCAGATTCTATGCACAGGATGAAAACATAAATTGCCAACTGCGCAGCATTTACACACCAGTTTGAGTGGCCTATAGGCGTTTATTTTCGTTACATTGCGAAAATCAAAACATGCGCCATAATACAGTGCATGACGGTGCTCGAACGGGATCTACACGTAAGTCTATTGCATACGGCAACAACAAAAGTAGCCCAAATCGCTCTGAAAAGAATAATCAAAAATATTTATATCGGTAAATGTAAACTGTAACTGCAATGTGTCTTATCCTTAATAACAAAGCAGGCTCGCTTGTTGACAGCGCCACGGTGGCACGCGGTCGGATACACTGTGTGTGTGTCGCTCAAAAGAAAAATAAACGGTTTATGAGCGTGCAAGGTCATCACTGAAAGAACGGGGGGAGATTGTGCCATTTTTTCCAGCAACGCTTGTCTACCGTCATGGCGGCTGTTACCAGTCCGTTTCGAGTGTGGAAGTTGGGGGGCTCCACAATCAGGCCATCCCTCCGCTTCGACGGCACTGGCAGCAAAGTCCTCGCCCATCCTCGGCCGAGCTGTGGCCGGAATTTGCCCTGCTGGCTGGGGCACCGCATCTGGTTGACCTGCCGCCGGCACCTGCTCCACAGCAGAGTCTTCCTGCTGGCCGCCGTGGTCGTCGGCATGACGCTGCTCCTGAGGAGCAGCGCGAGCGGAGTGGTCCAGGCCGACGAGTTGATGGTGGAGGAGGGCCGAGAGAAGGCGGCGCTGAGAACAACGCGAGTCTCGAAGAAAAATCCTCCCCTCGGGAATGAAACCATAATTGTCATTCCGGCTCGTGCCAACAACTCACGGTGAGTCCAGTATCGCTTGCTGTTAAACTGTACATGAAAATGTAAGAGCAAGATATAACTAAACTGTGCCTTAAGCCACAGTGTCAAAATGGAAGCCAGATTATTCATGAACGATATTCTCATTCGATATTCCATCCTGGTTTATTACACTGGGTATGGACAATGGTCGTCGTGTATTATAAGGCCAACAACTGTATCCAAATTTAGACATTGTTCACAAAGGAATATACACAATATCCGGTTAAAGGGAAATCGGGATAACTGAAGTCCATGTGGAAAAGAGACTCGATGTGTCTATGAAACTGCAGGCTGTTATATGCATAAATGTAGTGGGCCACTTCCGTTTAAAAATCTAAACGTGGAATTAGCCGGACTAGGCCTACTGTTTGTAGGTTTATTTTAACAGCAGAATTTCTTATCTGTAGCCGAGTACACGCACCGATTGGCTTTATTTCTCTTAGAAAGAAAGTCCAAACGGCCGAAATCTGGTTCCCTGGTAAAATGGGAATAGGCCCCACACAATTAAAAGTTGAAATTCATAGTTTGGGGCGCACACAAAGCCAAAAATGAGACATCATAACGATTTAATAAATACCCTGAATCCTTAACAGGGAGATGTTCCCTTTGACTCGTGTACATACTTTGAGGTGGAGATAGTTCTTTTGTAAAAACTGAATATCCATCAGTACTTTGTGCTAATTGTCCATGTTCACCTGGCCCAGAAACAGTCTTGAAAACGTGAAAAACTGACTCAGTCTCTGCTCCGCAACGTTTGTCTATAGCTGGATTCAAATGGTTATGAATTAAAGGCCCCACCACAGATCCCTCCCCGCATATAGATCAGAAATAAAACTTTTCCAACCCACCAAGTTTAACGCTCGAAGTTGAAATATTTCCAAATGGCACTGTTCCACGACCTAGGTTGCATCATTTTTTCCTCAATATGAAATTCGTAAAAGCTTGTGCCATATCAAGTCGCAGCTTTGTCTGACGTAGTACAGGATACACTCGCTGGCAGAAAAAAAATTAAATCCTGCAAGGTGGTTTTCAGCCACGATGCACTCCAGCTCGCGACCGCGTGTTGATCTCCATTATAAAGGCTTGGAGATCAATGGGTGCCGCCGCAGTTACGGCGTCTAATCAGATTAGTCTAAAGCCCTTTTGTTTTACAGCGCATTCGCTAAGGTTCATCGGCGGATCCAGGGGGCAATGGGGCCCAAGGCTCCTCGTGAACAGGCAGTTTTATCCGGGAAAGGCAATTTAGGGTCGTTCCTCCCTACAGCGTGTAGAAAGCGGCAATACTTAGCTTCACCCCTCATAAAAAAGTTATTAGAAATACATCGAGAAATTCTCTACATTTTGTTGCCCTCAAAGAAAATGTAGCACCCTCTTCAAAAATTTGGTTTGAGTCTGTCATTGCTGAAGTTTGCGTCTGAGTCAAATTTACCTATTTTTAGTCTCCATCTTGCCATACTAAGGAGCGTCCACAGCCTTCTGGATACTGTTGCTGTTGAGTGATTGCCGAGATATACGAGTAAAACGAAGATATCCTTCGATATCATGTTTGTGGCTTCAAATTAGCATCAAAATTTTTGGCACGGCTTTGTTTTTGTAATGCGCTGTGCGTGACATGAAAATCACGAGAATATGATAACCCATGGGATTGGCCGGGAACCAGGAGGGGTGCGCACAAATGGCCAATTCCCTGCGTCAGCCAGTTTTATGATACCGTGCACGATATGGGGCCAATGGGTCCCCCCACATCTCCAATCCCTATACACACTCTAGACTATTGTTACTTAACACACCCCCCCCCCGAAGTCTGTAAAGAATTCCTGAGATTCCGATCAAACAATGACCAACACAAAGGCGGCGGGGGGGGGTTCTCTCCGCCCCATATCTTGCACCATATGATTTTAACATTCAGCCTATTCCACCAGTGGCATTGCAATGTGCATGATGTTTTGATCAGGGATTGAAGGTTCGCAAACATTGCTTCGTTGGTTTGGACGTGTGCTCTTCAAAAGCTGCAAACTGTAATTTTGGTTTCATATAGCGATTAGTGTTAGTCACGGCTGGCCAAAGCTTAGCCTCCTGATGCAGGCAGTGCGGAGTACAGTGAAACTCGCAAGGCCATGGCCCGTTTGTCCTTTCGTATTCCTATACTTTGACGAGCCTATTCACACCTGTGCTCGGTGAAGTCAATACATAAATTAAAAAAAAAATATGCCTGGACTTCCCGGTTTTTCTGTAGAAAAAGCATTGTCACGTCAGCTGTTGAACTTTACGTCAGCTGTTGCACTTTCTGGTGTTACACTGCTCTGAACTGGAAGCAGCTGACCCAAGTAGCTAGGAGAGGGCGTCAGGTGGCATATTCTGTAGCCTAAAAACCTGCCCTAGAAACAGTGAGAAATATTCCCCACTTGAAAGAAAAATCAGTAGAAACAAAATACTCACTGGTTTCTCCGACAAACAATAAATTAAAGCAAATTTTCCTCGTCTCTCATTTTCCTTTCAATTTTGAGTCAATTCAAACTACTCTTCCCTGAAATAGTCGTGAATCCCATTACTAGTGCTTATCGCCATTTTTAAATTAACGCCCACACTCCATTCAACCGGCGGTTTCGTAGCTATATAACTTTCACTCTTTTTCTTTTACAAACCCTCCATTCTACAGGTTGAAAAACTGCCGTAAAAGCAATTTGACCGACGGCATGGAAATTTTTATTTAGTCCCTAGGCGGCAAACGACTACATCACCTTTCAATACATTAATCCAGATGCGGTTGCCATTAAGCCGAGTTCACGATCTTGAGCTAAGTCTAGGTCCTCGCCTGTTTACGTAGAGAAACGCTGACAATGAGCCCCGAGCTGGACCAATAGAGGGTGCAGTTTCCTTAACAACGGAAGTTAGTGGGAACTGAATTTTGCTTGTTTACGAACGACTAGGAAATGCACGCGTTACAGTGGTATTGCTGCCAGCAAAATGAACACTACTGACCAACACGGCTCATTTCAAACGATGAGAGGGTGCCTCTGCTCAGAGTGGAGCGAGGTAGCCTAGCTCCAGAAACCCGTTTCGGACACGGCCTATCCGGTTCGTAAGTGTGACGTCATTTCAGTGTAAACCACGCCCACTGCTTATAGGGTTACATGGAACTATGGAGCCAGAAGTTAACGCGCAAGTTGAGTGGTCACCCAACGGGAGTAGCCAAGGGGTGCGTTCGATTAGCTTACATGTGTAAGTCAAACTTACACGAGAGCGTTCGTTTAGACATCACGTGATCTTTGTGCCTGCCCTGGTGTCGGTCACCACCACCCCAGCTGGCGAGCGGGTCTCTGGAGACTGCCCGAGTGTGATGACGTCACGGATGGACTGTTCGAGCATGGACGTACATGATGGAACGTGGTGGGGACTTGACCTTTTCCCCAGAATGCCTTGGAAAACACACTGCAGCGTTCGATAAGCCTCATTTTGAGGCTTCCCTTGAGTTGTAATACTGGTGTGTTCAGGGAAGCTAATCGAAAGCACCCAGTGTAGTGGACACAATAGCACTAACAAACGCGAAAAGGCGCCCTGCAATTGCATTCACTGAACGCGTGCGTGCGACCTGCGTGCCTGCGTGTTGGTTACAACGACAGCAATGGCCACCAATACCAGTCGCCAGCTTTGTTGATATTGTGCCATCGCAAATACCCACCTGCACGTATCGATTCACTTTAGAATTCCGCATTCACTGAGATCACTACAGAACCGTAAGGTATAATTCACAGCGCTGATAAAACCCTTGGCAATCGATATTACCTGGTCCTTTCTGGTTGTCCGTTGTTTGTTTTAGAGATCAGCTTAGCAGCCAGACTGCGTTAACCGATAACTTATATGTCAACTTTTTTTGTGTCTGCAAGAAGTCGGTGGTTTTTACGATTTGTTCGTTGCCTGGTAATAATCATTTTTGTTTTGGATCGTTTTTCGTTGTTGAATCATACCCTGGTGACCTTCTTGTCTAGATCGACACATTATGTGTGGCCGCACCTATTCCTGTCGGCAAGCGTGAACCACTCTTAGGCCTACTACCGAATGTTTACGCTTTTCGTAGCGTGTGTCCACTACTCTTCGGTACAGGGAATCATTCGCGAATGTTGCCAGCCTTCCTGCGTAAAACTGGACGTTGTTTGAAGCACTGAAATTTACGGAGCGCCTATTTTTTTTCCCAAGAAAGACTAATTTAGCAGGTTAAATGCTCATGTGAGATTTTGACTAAGGGTTGATAAAATTTAGTCCTTCGGGACTGTCAAAAACAAGAAAATGAAACTGAATTGGAATTGCACATTTCCTTCAGTAGTAATCCGGGTCGTGACTTCGTCACAAAAGGCGCACGCGCCACGATTTGCAGGCTCCCATTGGACGATCGGTAAAGTTGCGTGTCAACTTCCGGTTCCATGTAAAATGCGACCAGTGCATAAAACACTATGTGCAGTGTATGTGCAGTGGGCGTGGTTTAAACTGAAGTGGCGTCACACTTACGAACTGTATGATGGGTAAGGAAGGTGTGCAAATGGTGATCTAAATCAAATGGTCTTTTTCAATCACTGATTTAGATGTGCCTTTCCATCTTTTAACAGGGCAAAACTGCTGAAAAGTGGATTTTTTCTTTCAAACTGCTTTGTAATTTTCGGAGATTCTCACATGTTAATAGGCAATTTCGCTTGTGTGAACCCATATCGTACCTACAGTACGGTATGGACAAGAAGTACGGGTGTTCATGTGTTAAATTACACGCAATCCGAGTTGGCTGGAATTTTGGGTTCAGTTTAAACCTCTTTCCTAAATTTCACTTGAATCATTCGGTGCATGAATTAAAATGATATGTAATCATGACTTCATTTAAAGTGTCTATCTTTAAGTTGAACTCGGCAAAGTATGGATGTGCATTTTTCTTTCACCTCCATTGGGATGAGAGTGTTCGTCATTATCAGTGGGGTAAATCTGTGCTGGAAATCGAAGGGGGGGTGGGAGATGGGGAAAGGTGGGGGGGATGATAGTAAAATTTGAAAAGCGGGGCGGGGGGTTGATACAATACGACTTTATATACAGGTCGATGTTCATGATATTAATGTACATCTGTAAAATGTATTCAGAATGTCATATTTATGGCTTTTTATTTGGTCTCCTTTTTGAGTGATACTGAATGCATTTTAGTTGTTGGAAGTTTTGAAAAATTCTTTACCATTCACTGAGAGAATGCTTCACTTTTTGTTGAAATTCATTCCAGGTCGGACCTAGCTGTTCATAAAGACGCAGAGCCCCCGGCCCCATCCCCGTCCCCGCTCCAGCTCCAAACACCTACAGATCCACGCCCACCAAAAGTAGCACCGCACGACCGGAACTCGCCAAATTTCACCAAGGAAATGAGGTAAGTGATATAAGGAGTACTTTCTTGCGTTTAAGGTGTATGTATGGATTGTTCATTTTACATGCAAGATATGGATTGCACTTGGCGTCTTTTTTTTTTCAATGGTCCCCTGGCATGGTAAAGGAACTTTACCGAGTACCAGCTGCAAGGGGTCTACACCAGATCACATCCGTCAAGTTCAAGTATATTCACATTACATAAGACGTCGTGTACACATGCACATTGAAACGTTCAAAGCATGCACAGATACCTGCGCCTTTATGCACTGCACCCCAAAACCATGCAGTTAAGAAATGAAAAGCTTTCTTGACACGTTCGCATCGCGGTGCCTTCATGTATAATATCGTACACGACCCGGACATCAGTTGATCGAAATGAAAATGTTTATTCCCAAGAGAATCGAAAGAGAATTCAGCTGAGAGCTGCCATGTTAAGGTAATAATGTTCAACTCAGTGTGATAACATAATCAGGAAATTGTAAACCTTGCCATGTCACCAAACATTTTTGCTGTGCTATTTATTTTTTTCCCGACCGTATTATAGTGGTCCCGTGTCAATTTGGCAACTTTTTGCGCAAATATTTCGTCCCTCTTAGCGAAAACAATTGCTGCGCTGACCATCTGTAACCCTACGTACCGATCGCTGGGTGTGTCCTCTTGCTTGCGGTGGTATTTACTTAGGGATCAAGAAATTTTTTTCTGCCGTTCGTTCCACCGCGGCCGATATTTCACAAGAATGCGTGTCGCTTCATGCCTGTAATACTATCACAGAAAGACTTGTTACACGAGTTATCCAGGACTCCAATATCCAGTATAGATTTTTCTATTTTTCTGTATAAAATGGCGCCTATCAATTCGTCCGATGACGAAAGAAATTGTAAAATCTCCGTGGAATACGAGACACGTTCTTCAATGGACAGCATGAGTGTGGCACAGAAGCAAAGTGACTAACAATATAACATGTTAGCCTACTTAAGAATGTCAGTTTCTCGCAAGGGACACGTTGCATTGAATTTGAGAACAGAATTTAGTGTAAGTGATTGAACGCTGTGGCGTTGTGAAATCCAGGAGACTGCACAAGGAAATGTGTGGCGCTGTTGAACTTTTATACGGTATAAGAAGTCACTTGATCTATTAAGGAACTGTGTAATATACTCTTCGTTGTTCATTACATTTAGCCTTGCCATTTTAGGCGAGCTGCGAAGCAAATGCGAGCTGTGTAATACCGATTTCTGTCCTTTGTCCGTCCCTCCGTCCGTCCGGCCGTCCTCAAAATAATGTTAAAGTTTTCCCTTGCAGGTCCATAGGTGTTAAAATGTACCACCGAGGGCTCGTTTGCTTCCTCTTGGAATTCCATCAATGTTTAAATAATCTTATGTGGCATTAATGCTTGGAAACTTATGAGTTTAATAAAAAAATTATCAAAAGTTGAATGTTAATGTTTTGAGTTGTATTGTGTGTACTAACCCTGCAGTACATACATATATACTGAGCACTCCTGCAATGAAGTCGGTTATAGGACGTCCCTCGCAGCAGTGTACATACATGCCAGCTATAGCTGATGCTGTCTGTCTGTCAGCATAACTACGCCTTTACTGTACGCGTCACTGCAGGATTGGAGTGTACCGACCGCGTAACATCCGTACCAAGACACAACCAGTACACCGCGGCTTTACTGGTTATGATGGTGGTCAATGTCCATGACATGGTAATACTTGTGTTTGTTTTGTGTATCATCGGAAAATTCTTTGTGAAGTAGTGAAGCTTATTTCAGGACTGCAGCGCAGGTGAGATGTCACCCTGGTACCCGGATTTGTCAATGACAGCCGGATATGCACGCATAGATGGGCGATCCACATAGTACCGGTACACGACCCGGACATCTGTTGATCGAAATGAAAATGTTTATTCCCAGGAGAATCGAAAGAGAATTCAGCTGAGAGCTGCCTTGTTATATCTTGTGCAGTTTTTCAAAGATAATAATGTTCAACTCAGTGTGATAACATAATCAGGAAATTGTAAGCCTTGCCGTGTCGCCAAACATTTTTGCTGTGCTATTTATTTTTTTCGCGACCGTATTATAGTGGTCCCGTTTCAATTTAGCAACTTTTTGCACAAATATTTCGTCCCTCTTAGCGAAAACAATTGCGACGCTAACCATCTGTAACCGTAGGGCCTATGTACCGATCGCTGGGTGTGTCCTCTTGCTTGCGGTGGTATTTACTTAGGTATTCTTCTCTCCTCTAAAGAAATGTGAAGCCTTTGTACCCGTATCTCACTTGTTCATGGTCTTTGTTGATTTAGGCGCCTTTCAACACACAGTCTGCGCATAGCACTAACTAGGTTTTCTCACGGAGTATAATGAATTTTATCGCTAAGGTTGATAAAATATCTTGTACATCTGTATTGCAGTCGTTTGTCAACCATCTTGTGAAAAATTTGGATGAAGCTTGGTTAGTATACACCTGTTATTTAGGAACCATATTTGTATAACTTGGATATCTCTTAACATAAGCTGTTGTTACAGGAAAGAAATTCAAATTCATAACAAGCAACGAGCCATGGCGGCTTTGCCGTTCTAGTTAAATTGCATATTTAGCTACGGTTTTAATGTTTTTGATTTTCTATTTTATTTAAATCATGTAGGCATTTCGCTGAATCCTACGCCCACAGCTATCCAGATGGCGACCAATTTATGGCTTACGTCAAGACGGTGATCAAGCGCAAATGGGAACCCAGTCTGAACAACACGAATCAATTTAGGTTAAGACCAAGAATGCTTTTGTCTCTTTTTTCTAGTCTCTGTTTATGTTATACAACTACATGTCTGCTGTTCTCATGGTCCACCTAAACCTAGCTGGTATCAAGCATGGCTTTCAGGAAAAGCGCTTGGGGGACGTGACAATACGGGCGATTCAAAATAGTGCGCCTCCAAGAGTTTGAAACGCGTTGGCCAATCACAACGTGCGAAATTTGTCGACCCTTTCCAAACGTGCATTGGGTCGACAGATTTCGCGCATTGTGATTGGCCCACCAATTGCAAACTCTTGGAGGCGCACTATTGTGAAACGCCCGTATTGCTATGGGTTGCTTCTGAAACACGCAGGTTGGCTCTGTAAAATAAATTCACTGAGCAGTCGGAATACACAAGAAAGTTGAAGAAGTGCCCATCGTTGCCAAAAGTTGCAACATATGCCAGTACAGTTGTATATACGCTGCACCAGAACGGCAACGGTTAGCATTTCTTCAACTTAGTTGACCCTATGCACAAGTCGGCCATATTGAATTGAAAGCGAGGTTATAACTTTTATTTTGGCACCGAAGAATAAGAATGCAAGCGCTGAAATAAAACTTCATCACAAATTAATGTCATTTATGCTGATGAATAATTTACATTTTTGATTTATTATATCTAAATGCTTCAAGCAACATTTAAAAAGTGAAAGTGAGGCGAGGAACGCCAAATAGTCTGGCACCACCCCTTTTAGCAAATTACATTGAATATGATAGATTCAGGGAACACTATCAAAAAATGGGTTCCTTGTGAAAAAAGCCTATTGTTATCCTTATTTACAAGTGCTACGCAGCAACCTCCTCGTCACCTGAATTTACATCAGATCGCTGTGGTTGGTAGGTTGGTTGGCACTCAGCATCGAGTTTTATTCCTCTGACAGGCGTGACATACGTGCAGCACTGGCCGAGGTGGGAAAGAGCAAGAACGTGTACCTGACCAAGCACAATACACCCCGCCACAAGGTGATGATGTACTACATGGCCGGCAAGCCCGCCAAAATAGCCGATCGAATCTGGGAGACTCTGCCAAATGTGAGTCACTCAGTCGTATTTGGGTGAAAGTTTCTGCGACTGGTATTATAGCAGACGACGTACGTAGTCTGTATCAACTGTGTAATACGCATGGGTTTCTCCAGTCAGTGGAAAAGTGCATCGTACTGGTATTCAATGAAAAGAAATTTCAGTTTTTCTCCATATATCGAATGACTTCTTCCATGAGGAATATGTTTTCTCCCGACGTGGAACTCTTTCAGAGGGTATTGGGAAACAAGAAAATTCATTTGTATTATTCGTTTTATTCATTTTTTAAATCAAATTTTAATTTCTCAACTTGAAAGCTGAAACGTTGATGTCATTGAGAGTAATTTCATTTTATCAATTTAGGTATTTGTTTTCGAAGATTGGTCCATCTCTCCGTATCAGGAAACAGAAATCTAATTGTGAATAAGCAAGCTTTGGTAGTGTTTTCACTTCTTTTTCAAAGAAAACGTGAAAAATATGCATGGCACTGCAAAACGTGAAACACAACACTTCTATTTCCTTATTGTTTCTGATGCAGTGCATCTTTTTTGTCGCTCACTCACGGAACTCAGATTGAAATTGAACCGTGATTGTCATTATTAAACCCAGTCAGTCAATCACCCCCCCGGCTGTACATCCGATCCACTCGGGTGTGCATCGCCTCCAATGCACTCCTTGAATTTAATAAGGGAATGAATGTGCCCCTGGCCGGTCTGCAATTTCGTTAAAGATACGCTCAGATGGCATGGACGTACAAATGTCTCATTTCTTCGGCTTGGGCGTTATCAGCATGCATTCTCCTCATCCGGGCTTTATATTGATATACGAACCGGCTATGCGCATAAGGTCCCAACGATTTTGTTAGATGATTTCACTCCTTTTTCAAACAACCCTCGTCTAGCCACGAATCTGCCTCTCGCGAATAATCCTATAAAAATCTTCTTGTTTGAAGTCTGGTACACGCATGGCGCGTGCAGCGTGAGGTATTGCAGAGCTAGCCGGTGCTTCATCAACTATTTAAGACCCGCCACGTGACGGGCTTTCGACCAATAGAAATGGCTAAGCACTCTGTTTATGAGTGAAATTATGTGATTCGCCGGTATTAAACGTACTTAATTCCCATTCATAAATTCCTTTTTTAGTCAGAGAGTCAAAAGAAGTCTATATGTGACGGATTTCCAATGGTTTGGTTCTAGAACTTCACTTTCAGTTTCCCGAACACCCACGTCCATTACAGTTATAGCTGTCCAAAAGAATTTCCTTATATGGTCTTGGCGCGCGTGTGGCGAGCCGCGTGCGCATAGACTCTTGACCAATCAGAATCGATTAAACTGCCTCGTATCCAGGCGCCAGCGCCGCTTACACAGCTGGCATCACATCTCAGCGGGCATTATCAAATGTTAGTACACGATCAAGTCGCACGTTGTTGAATAGGGAGACTGAGGTATTTACGAATGGCGAATAATTCATTAAAATGAATAGCAGCAGTCTCTTTTCAGTAATAGTCTGACAAGCTGCACGAGGCAACACGTGAAGTAAAAAACATGAAATCTATCGGTGCAAAATCAATACGGGCGATTCACAAAAGTGCACCTCCAAGAGTTTGCAACGCGTTGACCAATCACATTGCACGAAATCCGTCGAACCTTTCCAAACGGGCTTTGGGTCGACAGATTTCGCGTACTGTGATTGGTCAACGCGTTGCAAACTCTTGGAGGCGCTCTATTTTGAATCGCTCGTATTCCTGGCCCAGTAAAGGCCCGACGAAATTTGAGACAAAATTCAAGTAACATTATATCGAATATTCCTCGGAACTGATACCGTTCTGCCCTAAAGATAATCACTTTGCAGCTGCTGAGTAACCCCCCCCCAATATGCCCCCAGGAAAAATATCCCGGTGCCGCCCATGGCCATGCCCCTTCTTCCACCCTTGGGACCATAAGGTGTTGCTGATTTTGCCCTCATTTTCGGCATTGGCACGACCATATCAGTACTCATTGCTGGCAATCCGTTATCCTATATTTTCTATGTTTTTCCCAGGATTCAGTCTTTCAAGCAGACCGCTTTAAGGTCTGTAGCGTGGTAGGGTCAAGCGGTATTCTTAAGGGCTCAAAGTGCGGGGAGGAGATAGATAGAGCCGACTTCGTCTTCAGGTGAAATGTCATTCTTGTTGGATTTTTTTTTCAGTTCTTATCTCAATGAACACATTTGACGGAAGACTTTTCCCAAAGATATCCAGTAATGCAGTAACATCACAAGTTTACCCCGGTCATAATTATACCAACCCCGGCGATTAGTTTCAGTTGGGTTTGGATGCAGCTATCGAGGCCTTCAAAAGCGCACGCTTTGTGCGCACACTAAAATCGGGTCATAAGTGAAGTACATGTCGTTAAACCACATCAGACGCCGAATTCTAGAGTGCAACCAAAAACATGGCGTCACGTTTACATTTACAGAGAAATGCAAAAAGTGTTTATAATTTAGTTCGCACGAAAATCTTACTGTGAAGGCTGACTGAAGAAATCCTTGAAAAAGTTAGTTTTGATCTCATGATTTTCATCTTGTATAAAATTTAGCATGATATAATATTAGCAGGAATCAATTCTCTCTTAATTCCGTGTAACAGTGTAACTAACAACACCCACTTGATCATCGTATCTGCCTTCAGATTTAACTTGGCTCCCGTTCGGGGATTTGAGACGGACGTTGGAGAGAAAACGAATTTCACGACGCTAAACCCCACCTTTATCATGTACAAGTGAGTCTTATAGTAAACTTGTTTTCCAGTTCGTTGTATTGTATCTTTTGTCTTTATAAAGGTCACGGTAACTATACCTTGGAGGATATCGAGAAACTGAGGAATATTTACCGGAACAAAGATTACGTGCCGAGTTCCACAAATTCGTGTCGAAACCCCTTCATTTAGACTCTTCAACCCTCGCGCGTGTGATCAGACTTCTTGTGGTTCAACTTGTGATGGGGTTGTGATGTCGCGAAAAACTCGCCATTCGAACCTCAAGCTGGGCGACCAATGGAATCACCGTTTACTTTTCAGCATACATGCCGAATGCCTATTTGGGATCCGAACCCCTTCCCCAAATCAAGGTTTTAAATGTGTAGTATAAAGATAGGATACAAGACCAGTCATCGGACAGTTACTGGTAACAAGGTAAACAATGGCTAATGAATGTTTTTGTTGCAAAGTCGAATATCAACACGACAGTTAAGGGCCGACATCCCTTGTTATGGGTACTGGAAAATACTTGCCCAAGTAGTTCAACATTTGTCATTAGATTTTGATTGGTTGAATGTCACACTTAATATACTTTTGGTTAGGGCCTGCTCGAAAAAACGGTAAATATATCACTACGAATTAGCTAGCTCTGGCATGCCCCTTGTCTTGACAGAATGAACTCCATCAAGAATACAAGCGACGTGGCCAAATTCACAGAGGCGCTGCGCCAGTTTCAGAATAGCTTCCTATACCTGCCGGGATTTGCCGTCAGCGGTAGCCTTCGGCTGCTGGTTAAAGCGGCCGGCGTGGCCAGTGACGCCCGGGTTACAAAGCCGGTGTACGGTAGTCCCGACCATTTCCTTGTGGTGTCCAACCTGTGGCGAAAGACACACAACAGCGGCTTAAAATGGCCTTCAACGGGTGAGTGTTTGTACATCTCCCTGTAGCATTTGAGGAGAAAAAGTGGGAGTTTTTTGTTTGTTTTGTTTTTTCTGCATTAAAGGTTAGGAGTCTATTGAAGTGAAAGATTGTTGAACCCTTATCCATGTGATGCGTCATGTGTTACATAAACCAATGACATCACTTACCCGTCCTTATCAGTCAATTCTAAAATCACTTTTTGAAGAAACTTTACTGTAAAATTGTTTGTTGTCATTTTTGGTATTTAGAAATTCCAAAAGATGCAGTGTGCTGAGTAAAACATTAAAACCGGTCTTCTCTCAATTTGCACATACAAACGGTCAATTTTTCCAGCGTTGTCCCTTCTCAACAGGTATTTATGGCATCTCCTCCCTGTTTGATACGTGCGACCGGATTAACGTCTTCGGTTTCTGGCCCTTTGCCAAGTCCTCCGCCGGGAGAGTCGTGCCTTACCACTACAACAACAATGTCAAAGCGACCAAAGTACACAGCTTTGACAAGGAATTCAAGACCCTGCTGTTCTTGCATGAAAAGGGCATTATCAATTTGCATCTGACGTCTTGCCGATGATGAGACAAGCGTTGTGGATCTTCGCATTTGCTCCATTGCTACTTCTGACTAATACTGCTAACTGAAAACTGAATTCATGTCGACCTGTCTCTTTCTTAAATAGAGACATTATCTCCAACTCTCTCCAAAAGAATTCTGTTTGAAAGAGAGGAATCTCAGATTTTTATACTAATAGAGATACCTTTATTGGGAAAGAAGATATCTTTGTTTTGTGATAGAATGGTTACATCACGCGCCCGGAAATAGGCATGCCTCAAAAACAAATAGATCGAGATAATAATTATCTATTCCCTGTTCATATTCTCTACTTTTTGTCTTTCCATCGAGTTTGCACGCCATTGTGAAGGGTAAAACTAGTGTCGGGAAAGGTTCGATCCGTTAACACCTGTCATCTCAGGGACCAATGGCAAGTGCCTGCTAAACTGTCGATCATTCATAGACCTTTCCCATGAGACACCGCATACTGCACTCATCGCGCGTGGGCACGCAGAACGCGTCTGCCGTAGGGATGCGTTGCTAGACTTGAAATCAAGTCGGTAATTGGCCGGGCACAGTCCACCTTCCTATATGAAGGTTGTTATTGAGCTGTGCGCGACCACTTGTCTTGGCTAATACGGAGAGCGCTTTGAACTTTGAAGGGGGTAAGACGGCTGCATTAGTAAGCCGGAAGACGTGGGTTCGAGTCCCTCCCAAGTAAGCTTGTGAATTTTTTCGCTCTCGGACACGCCCTGAGTATACAGCGTTATATATGTTGGGTAAGGGCAAAATCCGGAGTATAAGTTAACATCTCCCGACGCAAATGTCTTAATTTAGTTACATCGAATCCACAAAAGGTTTACTCGAGCCTATCTTTGAGGACGAGTGAATGCATTACTTCTGAGGACGCGTGAACGCATAACCTCTTTCCTATAATGCCGTAGTGTGAAATTGTTCCGTCTCGATGTAACGAGCCGTTGACACCCCCTTTTCTGAAAAAAAATGTAGTTTGGAAGGAGATTATTTTGTTGTTATATAGTGGTTTTCGGGTTTCATTCGTTGGTTTTGGTTTCATTTTACATTAGAAATAGATTCAAGGAGCTTTTATCACTGAAATATTTTTGTCTTCTCAAGCAACTCATTACCATCGAGCAATTCGTATTTTATGATTGTTTCAGAGGTTTAACTTATTTCTGCTATCAGGGTAGTAAAGAAGAATATATGGCACATTGCCAGCCATTATTTGGTTATTAATTTGCGCTGTTCTGTTTATATGTTTAGTACATGGTCATCGGTCGGTTTTATGGGTGAGTTTATTCAAATTAGAAAAGGTGTAATGTCGCAAATAATTAAGTCAAGAGCAATAATTAATACACAAAGGGATAAACGCCGAGTGTATTTTGATGAGTGCCCAGTGATGATAAACTGAAAAATATTTCATTGGGCTTTTCTTTATTTTTGTACGAAGCAATGATGGATTCTTATGTGGCTATTCTATCATTGATTTGAAAGCTTGTAAATGTATTTAAAAAACTTGTTTGTGTGGGATTTTTTGGTAAGACGCTTGGCCTAAGGCCTAGAGAAAGTTTATATTGAGAATGCATGCTTGATGAAAGGGCTCAGGCAATTCGATTGTTTATGCCGTAAACGCTGGTGCGTTGCACCTTCAGCCTGATTTTCGTGTTGTGTCGTTTTATTGCTGTGTCTCTCCGTCATTTATTGTAAATATGATTTCAAATTTACATCATTACACAAGCGAAATTGTGATGTCATCTAAGGTAAAAATCCACAGTGTTACCGCAATTTCTTCAGTAAGTTTTGCCCGGAATAAAACCGTGGATTTTGTTTAAAAATGATTTGTTGTTGACCTTAGGCCCGATGAATAACGTTCTTGTTCAAGACTTGTTACTCACTTGACTTTGCGCGGCTTGTTCTGTTCTTGTATGTTCACGAACAGATCGATTTGCTTTTCGTGATTCAGCCGCTCGAACTCTGGGAACATAGAACCAGCTCTTGCCGGTGGTTAGTGGCAACATAGACATTAAATAACCCTGTAGGCTTCACCCTACAGATCGTCAAAGTTTAATTAAATAATAAATGTCCGCAATGAAATAAGGCTCAGCAATCAGACGAACATGAGTTGGAAGGTGACAGCAAAATATGTATTATGCAGGACGTAGCACAATAATCACAGGATGCAGACAGTATGGTTTAGATGGCGATATGGTGGAACATGGAGCATGCACATGGGTATGTACTGCAATGTGCAATATATGATTTAATATGCTGAGCAGTCCCAGAGACATAAAGGGGAAAATAATGGCGAATTTGGCTGCAAATAGCAGCGAAAGGTCTAACGTGACAAATTGACAAGATATAAGTAAAGGAAAGCGCCCTCTGGCTTGACCTACAATCTGCACCAGAAACATGAAATAGCGCCCTCTCGCAGGCTTTCCAGGCAAAAACAAAAATACTTCTGGCTTTCTTCAATCCCACCCAATATGAGTGGCAAGCGCGGACATGCAACACGTCAGCGTCCATGTACATGTACGTTACTTGAGAGTTAATATTGGGATAACCTGGCTGAATTCTTTTCTATTTGAATAGGAACATTCATTTCTGTGTTATGAAAATATTGAATGTTAATTTTGCAAAACTTCCCATTGTCTGTGCTTTGTAAGCCACTCTCTACCGGGCTTTTTGCTGCCGTTCAAAAATCAAAATCTCACGAGTTTTTCCATGTGCTCCTGTAAAACCCCCTGACGTGGAGGTAGTGTGTACGTGATCCTGTTCTGCCAGTGTTCTTGAGTCGTGTTCCAGCCGTTCGAGCGCGAGAACAAGACAGACCGCCTGAACTCGATTTGGTTTCAGATAATGGGTCCACTGAGGTTTGAGACATTTCTGAAATTGCAGGGCACGTTACACCTTTGCGCCCTCTCGCAAATTTGAATACTTTTTTTCTAATTTTATGCTAGTCTGTTCCCAGTGAAATTCTGGTGAGTTGAAGGGAAAGCCTCACTGCCCATTCGGAATGGGAAGCGAGGCTTTGCCACGGAGGAAAAATAAAACAAAATGAAGAAGATGGCACACCCCGGACGTAAATGAAAGATTCCAAACGTAGGTCAGTAATATAACAATGGGGAGGTCAGGTGTGAGAAGGGCAGGTGGTTGGCCAGCTGCTGGTTTGCGGTTTGCTAATTGCATTGTTCGATCAATGTGCGGAAGACCCGCTGGGGCTTTTCTCGTAACTGTTGTGATAAATACATGTACAAGTAGCTCATTTCCAGTGATGGTAGAGCTGGAGGCTTGTTGTGGAACCTCTCATATTCCAGGCTTTGCACTGTTTCACTACCCTGTGTGTGGCGTGGCGTAGTCGTGGGGGTGTGCTGATATCGATAGACGACAGCCAGCGTCAAGGCCTAGGTGAGTCATGTGACCTGGCGACTGAGCGTTCGGAACCCAGAAACAGGTGATGTTCAGATGTTGATTTATTTTGGAAAGAGGTCAACATATACGGACAACACTTGAGGCCCTGTGCACAAAAGTGTTTTCTAAGTAAATGCTTCAGAATTTTTTAGCTGAATTTCACTTTTTAGGACATGTTATCACTTTCTGACGGCTGTTATAACATTTTATTTTTTAAGGGAAAAGTCAGTGTTGTGTACAAAACTCTTTCCCTTGAAATTTCAGCTTTTGCAGCCAAAATTACCCTTAAGACAGATAAACCAAAAATGAACCATGTTCATGACGTTGGGTGATTTGACCCAAGAGTCCCATGACTTGACACCCTGTAAACAAACCTTATGAGACGGGTCTGAAAAGTGTTTTCTGAGTAAAGCTGTGATATTCTCCCCACAAAATTTGATTCTTATTAACACTTTGTGATAGCCGATATACATGTATGTCTGTATATGGAAGTCCTCTCCCCTTGCCTTCGCCCTCCTCATCCGGGAGGTCTCTTCTTGATCAAATGGATCATTCCTCCTCCGTGGCTGAATCACGGAGGAGGGCACGTACCAGGCAATGTCATCCCCTCCCTGTTGTGGTTGGTGATTGATGTTGGTGATAGGGTGCAATTCTAGGCACACCCTAGTACTACTAGTGGCACAACCACCAAAAGGGTCAAGAAAGAGTCCCCCTGCAACTCTTGGCAAATCCTGTCAGTCGCGAGCCTGGCTATGCATCGCAGAACTTGGCCCCGTATGGTTCCACTCAACAGCGGGACCACGGTCAGGCCAACATTGTAAGATGCAAGTTGTGACCATATGGCTGTATAGGCTGCACAGTGGTCCAATTTATTATCGGACGGATTTCTTTCCACAGCGGTTCCAATTAAACCGATGATGGAGGGATTCAAGGTGAAGGGGTTTGTTGCTGCCGTGTTCACTCCAATGACCGAAAATGGGTAAGTGTTCCTCGCTAGTGTGTGTATGTGTGTGTGATGGCTGTTTTTATAAATTCCCCAGGGGTAAGATGGTATTGACAGAAGGGTTTGTCGAGAGTTGTAACTGTCATCAAAACTGGCTATCATGAGCATCGACAGTGAGGTCATCCATGTTTTTGATAACTTCAAACAGCAGCCAGTTTGGGACAATCATGGTACATCCCCCACCTCCAAATTACTCAAGCCACTCCCATGAATGTGGCATTTTCCTCATGGCATTTTCGTGCGGTAGTTTCCGCTTTCTTATCATTGGTTTGGAGTTTCCAGGAGAGAAAACAGTTTTTTATTTACAATCTTGTAAAGGAAAAATGTTACATAGGAACTCACTAAATGTTCAAAGTCAGAAATCAACCTTAGACTGAGATGCTAAGAACCTGGGGCCAATTTCATAGAGCTGCTTAAGCACAAAATTTGCTTATCCAATCCAACACCTTCAAGGACCATGTCATGCACATCACAATTCTTAGTCCTCGCAATTGCTCACGGCGTAAAAAAGACTAGCTTGAGATAAGTTATCCTGACCCACTGTATATTTATTTCATTGGCAACATGTCCTCTCTTTCAGGGATGTGAATGTGGAAGCGATTGATCAATATGCGACCCAGCTACTGAATGATGGAGTTCGCAATGTATTCCGTGAGTGAGGAACCTACTGTTTTTCTACTTGATTCCTTCATATTATACCCAGTATCCCTAACAGTCCCAAATCCTCCAATCTCAGCATGATTTTGCTTTCACCCTAGGGCATTAGGGTTAACGTTTTCCNTATGGGTGGTCTTCTACAAAAGTTAAAGTACAAACAAAAGAGGAACAATAGGGGGTCCCCAGTTGCAGGCAAATACACACTTGCTTGTGTGTGTGATGGCTGTTTTTATAAATTCCCCAGGGGTAAGATGGTATTAACAGAAGGGTTTGTCGATAGTTGTGACTGTCATCAAAACTGGCCATCGTGAACATGGACAGTGAGGTCATCCATGGTTTTGATAACTTCAAACAGCAGCCAATTTGGGGACAATTATGGTACATCCCCCACCTCCAAATTACTCAAGCCACTCCCATGAATGTGGCATTTTCGTGCCGTAGTTTCCGCTTTCTTATCATTGGTTTGGAGTTTCCAGGAGAGAAAAGAGTTTTTTATTTACAATCTTGTAAAAGAAAAATATCACATAGGAACTCACTAAACATTCAAAGTCAGAAATCAACCTCAGACTAAGATGCTAAGAACCTGGGGCCAATTTCATAGAGCTGCTTAAGCACAAAATTTGCTTAAGCGCAAAAAACCTTGCTTAAAAAACAAAGGTTACCAGCTCAAAATCTATGTGATTGTCGTGCTAACCAAAAGACAGGTGAATACCATGCCAAAGCAATATACATCACATGAAATTTTGGCTGGAAACCTTATTTATCAAGCAAGGTTTTTCACGCTTAAGCAAATTGTGTGCTTAGGCAACTCTGTGAAATTGGCCCCTGTACTCTCGTACAGTTACCCAGTATTCATGTACAACATGAAGAGGGGGCTGTATGACCTCAGGGAATTCACCAGATTCAGTAAGCTACCAGGCAAAGAAGAAATGTGGCTTCCACTGTCAAATGCACATCCAACACCTTCAAGGCCCATGTCATGCACATCACAATTCTGAGACCTCATAATTGCTCACAGCGTAAAAAAGAGTAGCTTGAGATACAGATAAGTTATCCCGACCCACTGTACATGTATTTCATTGGCAACATGTCCTCTCTTTCAGGGATGTGAATGTGGAAGCGATTGATCAATATGCGACCCAGCTACTGAATGATGGAGTTCGCAATGTATTCCGTGAGTGAGGAACCTACTGTTTTTCTACTTGATTCCTTCATATTATACCCAGTATCCCTAACAGTCCCAAATCCTCCAATATGATTTTGCTTTCACCCTAGGGCGTTAGGGTTAACGTTTTCANGTATCTACAGAGGTTGTGCAGCAGACATCTCTCACGAGGCACTGACTAAATACATGTAGGTGGTGCTGTCTCGATCACGCGGCAAAAGTCTTGCTCCTCAAATTTTGATAGAGGTAATTTCTTTTTCACACACTTGGAGAGCTAGTGTCCTGAATGGCTGGGTAGTCGGAGTTTCATTGCAAGGGGGAAAAGTGGGCGAGCTGGATGTTACATTGGGGGGATGTACATGCAAGTCGCAACGAGTACAGTTTACTATTTTCTTTGTGTTTCAAATTTCCAGTGGGGGCAATGATTTTCCCCCAGCAACCCCCCCCCCACTTCACTGCCGGACCTAAATCCTATTCATTTCATGGAGGTAGAAGGCACTGCATTTTTGTGTATTTTTTACGATATCCTTTTGGTGGGAGTGCACTTTGTGTGCATAATTAATTGTGAGCCGGAAGAGGCGACCAGTTTCTGTCTGAATAGTTGAAAAATTACTTTCAGTTCCCAAGATTCCCCCAAATTGTAGAATGCTCATCCCGAAACTAAATCCATTGCAACAATTTCAGAGAAACTGCACCCTCTTCCCTCTCAGACACCCCACCCAGCCCTACATATAGCTCACCCTTACTCATCCCATCCCACCCCTGACTTGGTTGTAGGGTTAAAAAAAACAACTCCTTGGAAAGGGTCCCTGTTGTGTTCGAGCAAGGAACCTGCACCGTAGTGCCATTGATATCAATGATGTACCCATCGTTTTGCTAACACCTTGGTCTGCAGCCTGTGGTACTACTGGCGAGGGGCTTTCGCTCACCATCAACGAGAGAAAGCAGATTGCAGAGAAGTGGATGCAAGTTGGCAAGGGCAAGTAAGTACCCTTTCAAAAAACAAGAAATCAGGGGAATCAAACGGCGACTTAACCCCTCCTCAAGAAAAAAAATTTTACACTTCCTGTTCCCACAACTGCCCTGTTTTGACGGCAGGACTATTTTATGGGGGGATTTTTTTCTTGAGGGGGGTAAGGAGCAAAATTGGAAATAAATCTGAGTTATTAAGAAAGAAACAAATGCGCTCGTTGGTGTTCGAACGTGTTGCCAAAAGATTCATACTGAAAGCTGGTTACCACTGTACCTGGTTCCATAACTGGTAACCAGTTCCTAGCATCAACTGTTGGGTACGGAGGTAACCCTACAGCCCAACATATACGTAGTGAAGAACCTGTTAAAATAACTGAACGAACTTGTTCAGTTTCAACAATAAAGTCACATATTTGGTGTCTTGTTCAGGCTTCACAGCACCCGGTGTATGTTTTGTTGCGTGTGTTTAGATTTGATGTCATCATGGTTCACGTTGGAGCTGACTCGCTCCGAGACACCCAGGATTTGGTAAGCAGCTGTCAGTGTACATGTACTCATCGTCCAAATGTGTCAACTATTCAGTCTTGTTTTGAATACATCATTTAATGTTCCCATCCAACGCAAGTTTTCGATTCACATACGGCCGTGCCACTCGACTGGAATAAATGCATTTGAAAGATAACCTGTCATTTGTACAGAGTGGCGTGCTTCCCAGAGTTGTATAAACTGTCAGTTCTGATTGCATTTTTGTCTCTGTTTCGCATGATTCATTGCAAACAATAGCCTTGTTTTAACCTCTGGATTGTATGTAAAAATGAGTCTCTGCTGTTGATGTTCATAAAGATTTTAGTGGACTTTGGCAGGTCCAAGGTTTTTTTTTTGCTTGAATCACGAAATAATGAAATAAAGCAGCTGTTTTCCCATTTTATTTCCCCTTTGAAATGGCCATCGGCTATTTGTAGGCAAAGATGGAGGTTTGTATAAGTAGAACAGTGATAAACAATTTTTAAAAAAACCTTTGACATTTTCTTCTACTCGGCTGTAGGCATCTCATGCTGCAAGTATTGGAGCTGACGCGATATCCGTCGTGTCACCGACATACTTCAAGCCCAAAACTGTTGGTGAGTTTAAGACACGCAGGCCTTTGGACTTGCAATACATCTTGCCTAGGTTTCTATCCAGAGCGGTCTTGGCGAAATGGGCTATAAATGTCCAATCAGTCCTGCACTTTTTGCATTGTGGTTTGTTTGCCGTGTATGAAGAAGGCTGGTATGTGATTCACAGGTCAAAGTGCTAGATGAAGCATCTCTTGGAAGCTGTGTGTCATGGTTGATGTAAGGCAATGGATATGTTACCAGCTCTGCATGTTAAAAGTCCATGTACTGTGACAGGCTGGGCATAATGAATGCTCATTTTCTGAAGATTTGACCTGAAGCAAATCAAATTTGTTATAGTTTTAAGGCTATTATCCGAGATTTGCAGTGGCTTTTCGGAGGGGATTAAAGTGTACCGGTGTTGCAGTCTAGTCCATCTCAAGTCAATCACATGTTTTCCAGTTTTAAGCCAAATCACAAGCTATTCAAATAAACTGTGACAGAAGCATTCCATTGTCGTCATTGTCTGAGCTGTTAAAGACAAGTCTTAGTATTTTGGGGGAGGGTTGCCCTGCCCAACATGTATTGTAACACTGTATACCATGTATTTAGTGTTCCCCCGAAAGCTTGTGAAAAAAACCACAAGCGTACTCGGTTGGGACTCGAACCCACGGCTTCCTGCTTTAGTGCAGACGTCTTAACCACTCGACCAGCAAGCTTGCGGATGTCGGCTGGCTGATTCGAGTCAGATGTGGCAGCGGATACCGAAACAACTGTTTCTAAGGAGTACGCTTGTGGTTTTTTCACAAGCTTTCGAGGGAAACACTGAGTATGCACCATTACAGTACAATACATGTTGGGCAGGGACAGAAACCAAAATCCCAAATCAAATTAGCATCTCCTCGACGCAAATCAATCCATAGAAATAATTGTGCTCCAGGCACTGTAGCTTGGAAGCCCAAAGAAACCTGTAGAGAGGAGACAGTTAGAAATAGGAAAAGTTGTAGAGGTGGGAGAAAAACCCCAGAAGAATGTTTTGGTTAAAACCCAAAGGACCAGGTAGGGACTGAAAATCCAATCCAAATCTGAACCGAGCCGGGAATTGAACCCGGGCTTCATCGGTGAAAGGCAAAGGAAGAACGACTATATCAAGATGGCTCACCCTGTCTTGTGGTAGGACTTGTGAGCACTCACAAATGTCTTGACTAGAACAGTGCACCCTGTGGTGCGAGTCACATTAGACTAGTGCGGAACCAGCACTCGTTTCTGTGAGAGTATCGCTTCGCAACCTAGTACCTTTCAGAGAAACCTGTGTGGGGCCTGTGACAGACCAAGGTTCATCGACATACAGGAATACAAATAGAGAGAGGGGCCATGTGTCCCTGCGTGTTCCATTGTACTTCTGTATTTGAACCTGGATCTGCCCTTGGGAATTGTTGGTACAGTGGCTAGCAATGAAGGGTTTAGATTGTAAGCCTTATCGCTAATACTGCATGGGTGAGTTTTCACAATGGGAGAAAGGTGCTGTGGGAAGGAAAAGGGGGGCAGTGTTTGCTCCTTTTTCCTTCCCACAATGCCTTTCTACCATTGTGCAAACTCACTCATGTGGTATTAGCGATTAGGCTTGTGGGGAATGGGGGAGGGGTGTCGCCCCCTCCCCGCACATCTTGACAAGGGGGATGGCCACATGTAAATTCCACTGCCTATAGACCCATCTTGTTTTGGCTTATCAAACAGTACGTGTTCCATCTCTCGATCGCGTTTTCGTTGATAACATTTTTTTTATGGTCATTTTTCAGATCTCTTGCTTCAGTACCTGAAAGAAGTCGGTGCTGCCGCACCGTCGCTACCTCTGTATTACTACCACAACCCTGGAATGACAGGTGTAAAATGTAAGGACCTTGCTTCCAGGCGACCATTTACATAAAAAAGCACTGAAAAGTTTGGTTCCAACTAACAGTGGATTCATCAGATCTGGAGGGCCGTTAAGTGCCATGAGTTCACTTCAACTTTTGGTTTCTGCCTGAACCAAGTGCAAAGCATAATGTGTGCTGGTATGCCACCAATGTATGAATGGCTGTTTAGTCCACAGTTTTGCCTTGTGGTCATCAACCCAAGAACCTAGTGTAATTTCCTGAATCGTTCAACTCATCCCTTTTGACAGTATAAATACGTAATATATCTGAACTTGTGAAAGTTTTTGGACAGTGACAACTTGAGCACTTGTAAGGGCAAAATTTTGCCCCCAACCATGGGGGGGAGCAAAATGTCTGAGCTGTGGGCCCCCCTGTGGCCACTCCCACATTAGAATGCCTGTCTAAAACCATGCTGCCTAAGAAATAATTAAAGATTCTACCATCTCAACATCGCACAGTTTCATTGGAATCCATATGGGAGGGTTTGAAGCAGACACCTGTTCCGTCGCTGCGGGGTGTCAAGTTCACCTGTTCTGACTTCTACGACTTGGCTCGAGTCCAGCATCTGGCTGGGGACAGGTTGCAAATGCTGTACTCCACGGATGAGGTAAGGGTGGTCCCCACCAATGAGAACCTTCGCCAAGACAAACGTTTACTGCCCAAACACCCAGAACATGTCCTCTTCATTTCCCCACGGATAACGCTGACCCCAAATGCCTTTGAAGCTATTTTTGAAGAGAGGGAAAAACACTTTGTGGAAATAACCACATTTACTAGTCCTACTTTATACGGACTTCTTTTGTGCAGAGGTTTGCACTATAACCCCACTTGCATCCTGAATTTAGCTTGGCCAATTTATCTTGGCTTTTTAAACAGACATCATGCCCTTGGTGTGTTTCTCCTACCAGGGATTCCAGATAGACAGTCCACGATATGTATGTTGACTATTTTACTCACTATTAAATTTCTTACGTCTCTCTTTTTTCTGTCTGCCTATCTTCTCTCTGTAGCAACTCCCTCAAGCCTTTTCCCGAGGAATAGAGGGATTCATTGGAAGGTAATTAGGGTTTGATCATAGTAGCCAAGTACAGCTTCTAGTGGGCTGCTTCTGAATCTTGTCTCAAGGGCTAGGTCAATGCCTCCCCCTGTTCCAAAATATGTGAGCACGTGCTGATAGAAGACACAGCCGCAGGTTTGGGAAGCCAATGTTGAGCCTGGCCGTGCATTCTCTCCATTTTTTGACGTAAAATGCAACAAAACATTGGAAAGAAAGTTTGCTGAAGAAAGTCACCTCTGGATGTCTTTTTAATATTGACTATGGGGAAACTTTACAATCACCTTAGTTTGTCTGAGGACCTCTTTCCTTATATGAAGGGAAAGGTTGGGTCCTCAGAAGTTGTGACAGGTCCTCACAAGTCAAGCGCAAAGCATCTAAGGTTTGAAGCTTTTCAAATGAACTGTGGTACAGGAATTCTTTGTCACATCTCCTGTTACTTGTGACCAGACGGTTAATTTGACTTGTGATTTAATCTGGGATCAGACTTGGGATTTGACTGAGACTTGTGGTTCACATTGTGATTTACTAATGATTGCCTTGTGATTGACTTGAGATGGTCACGTGATTCATTCGTGAGTGACTTTTGATTGGCTTGTAATTAACTTGGGGTTGACTTTGGATTCAACCTGTGGTGTACATTTCCGCATAAACTTTTCTGAATCCAGGGAATGATATGATTTACCAATTTTCTGGAATTGTCTCTTTCTTAATTTCATAATTATTAAGCACTTACAACTATGCCGGTAAACCAGCGAACCGCATGCTTGAAGCTTACCAAAAGGGTGACATGGAGGCAATGGAGAAGGAGTATGTAAGTCAAGCTTGGCATCCTGACTCGCATCTAGGGCTGTGCCGAATATCTGAATAACCGAATATTCAATTGATTGTCGAATATTCGAATATTATTTTTCGAATTTGAATATTTGAATGCCAAATTCATGAAGAGGAAGAGAAAATTTTCTTTGTTTTAAATGCGAAAAATTGCACTGTGGAGACTTGATTCAATTAGATTCAAATGAAAAGCGTCAGAAATATTACAATGCTTTTAAAATTATTCATTAAGCAATGTAAAAGGAATAGAAATTTTCAATAGGGCAAGAAGTCTTGTTCGTCTCTTTAATCTAGCTAAATCGTGGCTGGAGATACTCCTAGACGTGAGAAGCTATTATATTGATCATAATGTACCATTGTGTGTTATTGCAACTGATTTTGTATAGGATCTGTTCATCAACAATCTGCCCTCAGTGCGACCGAATATTCAGATATTCGATCAAATTGAAGGTCAAATATTCAAATAGTAAATTATTCGAATTGACTTACCCCTACTCGGACTTGTCAGAATGGAACAAAACAGTTCTTTAATACTTTTTATGAAATAAAATGGAGGGACATTTTGAAGCTATACTTGTGCTGTATAATTTCTCCCTAAATTATTTGCTGGCTGCATGTACTTGCTTTCAACATGTTTAGTAAAATTTTCCTGCATATTTTCTCTTCTTGTTGCAGATGATGTACTTGTCGTTCATTCCAATACTGTTTAAATATGGTAAGTGTTTAAATGCTTTGGGGGTTTGGGCTGATGAACATGCTTTTTCAAGAAACAAAAAATTTGACAATAATACCCAATGAAAGAATTAGGTTTTTTTACCTGCTTATAAAAGTACCAGATAAAATGGATGGCCCGTATCAGACTCCTGCAAAACAAAATGCATGTTGCTGGAATGATCACTTGACGTAAGTCAGTGTTTGAACCTGAGAAGGCGTGATCTCTCAACACTAGTGGCCTCTTTGTCTGAAACATGAAGGGCTCAGTTTGGGGCTGTTCAGGGGCACGTGCAATCACACAATACTTTGGGTATGTATGCCTACTGCTGTTACAGATATACTGTGTATGCCAATACCGGCATACGTATTGAACATGCCCCAGATGTTGATGCTTTACACACTCAAGTGTATACGTCATAGGGTTGGGTTGGGGTGGGTAGGGGTGGATTGGGTTTGGCTGGGTTGGGTCGGGTTTGGCTGGGTTGCGTTGGGTTTGACTGGGTTGGGTTGGATTTGGCTGGGTTGGGTTAAGTTTTGGCTGGGTTAAGTTTGTTTGGGTGGGGTGGGTTGGGTTTGAGTGGGACGGCTTTGATAGATTGGTTTTTCTTAGGATGCCTGATTTGTCTTTCCTGCTTTTTTTCTGCCACCAAGTGGTTATTTAATTGCCTTGAAGGTAGGCATTTCCACTGTGATCAGCCTGGCTGCTTGAAAAGGCGGGTTTAATTTTGCCGCCCCCCCCACACTTTTTTGTGAATGTTTCATCTGCAAGTGATTTGACCATTAGAGTTCAGACCTTATATTGTCATAGATACTGATGCTGGGGGAGGTCAAAGATAGATCGATATGCATGACCTTTGACCTGTACTAGATGACAGGAAAACAAGAACAGACCCCAGTTTGTCAGTGTGCGTGATTTGTGGTTGGCAGGGGGTGATGTTGGTAGCAACAAGTGCATCATGAAGCTGGCCCGGTGTCCCACCATCGGTCCGGCCCGCCTGCCCATCGCAACGCTGGACAAGGAGAGGCTCCAGAGCATGAACGAAGAGCTGAAGAACATCGGCTTCTTTGAGTGGATCAACAAGTAGAGGAGTGGATCAGCTAGCCCATCATCCAGCAGACTGGCAAGGGGATTGGCTGCTGATCAAGCAGGTCAGGCAGTATGGAAATCAGTCATTGGTGGAGGAGTTGATTCAGTTGAATTCATGAATTAGTAATAAGGTTAGTTTAAGTTGGGATGCTACATGTACTCTCCGTAAAAGGGTACGTAAGGTTTTCATCTTTAATTTGGTGGTCGGATTAATGGTTAACTGTGGTCATTGAGAAAATACATTAATCTAGCAAGATTGTCTTGATGGGGAGTGTAAAAATGTGAAAAAAAGGGAACTATATGTAATTATTCTTGCTGAAGTGGAAACGGGTTTTATTCTACCAGATGTTTTTACCAAAATCACATGCAAGTATGGAAACATTGAATATTTTTTACTGAATACATAATGAAAAAGACTTTCATGTGAACAGTGAAGAAATTGATGTGCACTTTGAGGCAAAATTTGTCGTAAGCTAAGGGTGAAATTTGTACAGACTTTGGCCGTCCATTCAAAATGGCGGTCAGTGTTTGTAAAACTACAGAAAAGCCTGACTGGTGCTCATGAGGTCAGGTGTCTCAGCGCAGTTATACACCGACCCACATTCACTGCACATGCTCAAGCCCACGTGCGTAACTTTAAATAACCTTGCCTTTTTGATTACCAATTGGTCTCATCGTAAAGAATTAATCATTTCTTGCCTACCACCTCAGCACCACTTCGGTGCATTAAAAAAAAAGTTCTTGCCGTCTTATAGGCCGGGATACTGATGGAGTCAAACTTTGTTCACGTGTGCACTCTCTAGCAGCGCTGGGTGGGACCTACGGTTCACCGAGCACCGTACAAAACGAAGTGTGGCATTAGAGGTCTATTGCCCGCATAAAAAAAAAACTCTACTTGTGGAAAAAAATTAACTTCCGAAGAAGTAGTAACAAAAGTCGACTTTCAGCGGCAGTCTTTTCTCGTTTGAGTACTTTCAATCAGTGTACAGCTGTGTAAGCAACAAAGCTCGCATAATCGGACATGGAGGAGATGCCTAGAGAAATTAATACATTTCTGTTTACAGTACTACTGGCTGTGTGCCGGGATGATAACGGCAATTGGATTTTTTTTCTTGTTAATCACTCCCAGCTGTTGCCATTTTTGTTTGTGCACAGCATGTGGTGTCGCTATTTCGGGAGTTGATTGATTTTTTATACACGGCAGTGGAACTCTTTGAGAGACAAACTTGGTGACTGCAACAGCTGGTGCTCACCGCAGAGCCAAACGAAAGACCGAGGGGATTGCCGGCATGTCCAGCTCCTGTGGCATTTTGGCCATCTGGGTCCAGACTGACAAAGCTGCTGAGCACAGGAAAATATGCTTAGCTATATCAGGTTACCAGCCCAACATATCATGTAATGTGTACCTGCATTGACTGGTACTCTGCAGATTCGTGCTTAGCGCACAGCTTTGCCAAGTACAGTCTCCTTCTTGGCAGCTTGGCAGCCGTGGTATTTGATAGGTATCTCTGCGGCAGACTGTTTATGCACATTCTTTGGATAAAGACAGGGCCACATCAGTATTACTGTTGACTTTGCACAGCAGATTGGAAAGTTTTCTTAACTTTCAGCGCAGAAAATAGTGTGACGTTGTAATTCCGTTTAGCAGGTTTTGTCCATTAATGAGTGATTTGTTCTTTTGCAACTAATAACTAGCATCTTTCATTTATTTTGTAGTTTTCGTATTATAATGTAATAGACTGGTTGTGCCCAGTAAGTCACATGAGCCACAGTGGGTATCAAACATCAATAAACATGCATTTCCCCCATGGCCAAGTGTGTCAGAAGTGTCATTTACCAAAAATAAAACTGATGATTGGTAGAGCACTCAGACTACTGAACCCGGCTTTATTTTTGCTAAACTCTTAAAACAAACATTGCTATTGAAGGATGCCATGCTTGTTGATAATTTTATACCCACTAAAGGTCATGTGACTTAGCGGGCCCTATCGGCCAGTTGTAGCAGGCTATGCATTATATTTTACGGCCATACATGTACACTACCGCAAACAAGTTACGGACCATTGGAATAAAAAAATTTTCTTAATGTTTCAAACATCAAATTCACATTTTCAGCAGTAAAATATCTCATATAAAAAAGTCGACACAAAATCAAGAGTGGTCCTTAACTTTGTTCGAGTAGCATATTTTGTAATTCACATATACATGTACCAGTATAAATTTGAAGGTGTGTTCAATGTGCCTTTTTTCTCAAAATCCTGACAGGATCTGTGGATTAGTTTCAAGGGCTTAAATAAGGCATTAGACTTTTCTAAACGTTTAACAATACTGTTTGGAGTGAAATTAGTTTGATTTAAAATCAATGCAAGAAACTCAGAATAATAAAATAAATATTTTGAAATAAATTTATATTCAATTTATGCGTGGATATTTACTTGCACAAATTTTACAGCTGTGCTCCATAGCTGGCACAGATTATCTAAAATGGCAGGGGTGGAAAATCTATAATTAATACATGTATCTGTTTTTAGCCAACTGTACTAAACGAATGCATCACAACTATTTTGTAAAAATTTTAATTCTTTATTAGAAATTTTAATCTCGGTTTGTAATCAGAACTCTATCTCAAAATTTAAGTGGGGTGATTAGGAAAAAAAGCAATATTTTCCACACAAAACAATGAAGAATATTGAATGAACAATTTACATTGTATTATTTTTTCAAATGCTTTATTATTTCTTGAAATAAATCGCTAAATCGCACAAATGCAGTTACGCTGTGAATCTTTATGCAAAAGAAATTATTGAGTCACTGTGGATGTTACAGTATTTCAAAATATTTTGAAAGCCGTACAAAAAAAATTTAACCTGTGCTAAACATTCCAGTCTGTGTTTATGACTGCCAGAATGAATACTTTTGACAACTTAAACTCATTTTCGGAATGAAAAGGGCTGATGGACTCATCAAAATAGTCACAAAGTGTGGCATGTTTTTCCAGTTTCACAAAGTGAAATGCTTATACTGGGCATGTGTGTAAACCAGTTGAAAAAAGATGGTCAAGATACATAGAGGTAAAAAGTATATTTAGGTTTCGGTAGTAATGGAAGTCCTTTTGCATAAGGCTGAGTCAATTCAAATAATTCACTACTTGAATATTCGACCTTTTAATTTGATCGAATATTCAGTCGCACCAACCGGCAGATTTTTGATGAACAAACAAACAAATCAGTTGCAATAACACACACAATTATACATTATGATCAACATAATAGCTTCTCACAACTAGGCGTATCTCCAGCCACGATTTAGCTAGATTAAAGAGACGAACAAGACTTCTTGCCCTATTGAAAATTTCTATTCCTTTGAAATTGCTTAATGAATAATTCTGAAAGCATTGTAAGATTTCTGACGCTTTTCATTTAAATCTAATTGAATCAAGTCTCCACAGTGCAATTTTTCGCATTTAAAACAAAGGAAATTTTCCCTTCCTCTTCATGAATTTGGCATTCGAATATTCAAATTCGAAAAATAATATTCGAATATTTGCCAATCGATCGCATATTCGGTTATTTGGATATTCGGCACAGCCCTACTTTGCAATGGCCCGATTTTGGATAATTTACATTAGATGCATACAACACATGTCTGTGAACTTCCTGTACACGTGGACTGAAATTGTAGAAAAAAAAAAGCTCAAGCCAATAACATTGCTTGAAGTAAGTAGTTGTAAAAAGAAGTGAGCAACAAGTCGTTTTCCCCACTATCAATAAATGGATTGCTCATTGCACATTGAATGGTATCCATTCCCTCTACGGTGGATTTTCACAAAAACACCCAGCTGCATGTGATCCAAGTTTACATGTTCTCACAGAGACCCTAACCCCCTTCTGGGAAAATTGAAATCATGCATATATGCTTGTTGGATTCAGAATGGTTAGGGCTAATGCAGTCTGTCAATAGTTACTAAACTGTCACGTCTGAAAAGGCGAAAACGGTGGGTAGAAAAATTACAACTTCCAAAAAAAAAATCGATTCTGAAGAAAGAATCCTGAGGCTTCACTGAGTATCAAAAACTCACATAAAAGTGGACGAGTTTACAAATGACGAAAGCCACACGCTGGAAAAAACTGCAAAAATATTTGTTAAAGTTCAACCTTGTTTTTCTTTTCACCCGTGGTCTTCTTGCCGTTCAAATCAGCCGGGTTCGGTTTGATGGGTTTGGCCTTCTTGCCGTCTTGAACCACGACCCGGGGCTCCTCAGCCTGCTGGCTTCTGCCCTGATTAATTTTCTTGCCCTTGGGGGGCCTCTGGGCATCGGTTGAGGTGACCGACATTGCACAGCGGAAGCCCACATTGTCCGAGCCAGCATCTGGTGTGTTGCCCGTTCTAAAAAAAAAAAGAAAGGGGAAAAACCCATCACTTTTACAATTAACAGAAAAGACTCTAGTTGGCTTTAAAGTTTGAGTAAACTCCCTTCCATGGTACAGAGGATCTAGAAACTCTTCCCTAATCTCCCAGTGTTCCACTCAAACAGGTACACGTATATACTTACTGAAAATCTAGCCAAAAGCTGAAGTCTGCATGGACTGTGAAACATTTGTGGCACTGGTTTTTGGACACGCAACAATTTGATGTTAGCATTAAACTAAAGCCAAAAAGGCCAACTGCTTCAGAGGTAATGCTGTGATTTTTGCCTCAACTTGACATTGACTTGGTGAATATAAGTACAGACCCACTCCTTTCAATTATAACCACCATTTTTTCAATCATAACGTCAGCACCACTAAGCATTCACTTCATAACACAGCAATGTACATTTACATGTAGTCATTTAGGGAAAATAGACTGGCATGTGGCACTGAACTTGTCCAGACACTGAACACTTTATTCACAAGCCGACTTGTAGAAATAAAAGCAATAAATATGACATTTATTACCTGCATACGCTGGTGAATAATTGAACACTTAAGATTTAATGCACCTGAATGTTTTAAGCCAGATTTTCCTAAAAGATTTGAGAGAAAGGCTTGGAATGCACACTTATCAAAATATAGTCTGGTACCATCCCATTCTACAGCAGTACAGTTAGCTTTCTTACAAGCAGATTCAGGGGACAAGATTGAAATGACTTCCTCGTGAATACGGTTTACAATATGGTTGGCTTGTCCCGACCTAGCCAAACCCACATGGTAATAACCCCAGCTGGGTGGTCAAAATAGGGCCCCACCCCCACCCCACCCCCACTGCCCTTAACTGTGCATGCACGAAACCCGCAGGATACATGGACTGAAAATGGTCCTCTCCGCACGACAAAAACCGGTCCCTCGCACCCACCTGGTGGTGACCCTGACTTGATGATTAAAGGAGCCATCCTTGGAGTCGATGTAGGACCCGCCTCGCAAGGCGTACTTGGTGCCGTCCGACTCTGGGGCGTCGTCTTGACTGTCGTAGCGGGAGGAGGTCCACTCCCACACATTGCCAACCATATCATACAGGCCTGGCAGCAACAGAGGAAAAAAGGGCCAAAGGTCATCTAAGGTAGCCAATATCAGGATCAAAGCTGGGCCAAAAACAAAGATGTACCCTTGGACTTTGGATCAATAAAAAATATCAACAATGAGTAAATGGTCACCCACATGGACAGTTTTTACTAGCGGCCATTTTGGGGGTACAGTCTTTCCGATGTTTATTCTCCACAATTTGAACCACCCACAAACACGGCAGGTTCATTCCTGCCTTCTTCTAAGGATCAGATGCCCATCCACCGACATGGCTCCTCATGAAAACTCTCTGATAAAGTTGTACAGACAATCCAAGTAAACGGTTTTCATGAACTATGGCGAGCACTCCAGAGTAAAATATATGTCAGTGACTGGTGTAATGTGTACACTTTTATCATTTATGATGAGTGTACATATGTACAGAACTGCAGGATTAAAAACAGTCCATCAAGACAACCCCCTCCCCAGAAATGACAAGAAACTATGCCAACAGTCATTCCAAGAGACCCTTGGAAAGAGCTTACCCCCATTACTGTGGGTCACTACAAGCCAATGGATTCATCTACAGTGGGGCTATACCATAGTCATTCTGTTCGGGGAAGGCGTCGACCGGAGACACGCCCTTGTAGCCGTCTTTCGCCACATTAGTGTCGGGAAATTTCCCTTGCCAAAAGTTCATGCGAGTCACGTCAAACTTGTTGCCCCATGGGTACTTCCTCTCTGGGGGAAAAAAATGAAATCAAAACATAAGTTCCATCTTGACTAATATTTTTCCTGCCCAGGAGACTTTGGGGTACAAATGACCGAGCAAGGATTAGAAATTTGGGAAAGAAGATACCATGAACAAAGTTTAGACCTCTGCTTGTGTGAACTCCTTACAAAACCCCCTGAACGTCCCTGTAAGAGCACCAACATTTCGGTGCCAAAGCTGGCATCAAATTCAAGTCCATCGCAAGTCCATGGACATTCATGCCACATGCCATCCAACCCAAAAAAGCCTAGGCACGAGCCATTCAGACATAACAAAAAAACCTTCCTTTGTCATTGTTCACCATGCTGCCTACATGTATGACTGGTCTAGAGAGAGACTGCCTATGAAGGGGCTTGTGAATGGACTTGGGACAGACCGACTGGACAACACTGGCCCAGACCCATCTCTGTAAACTTCTACTGACCCTTTGGGCACAAGTGTTAAAATGTACTGGCATGAAAGTCATGCATCTTAGCATATCCAATCCCTGTATCTCCACTCCGTCATTCCCTGCCATGTATTTGCTAGGGCCCCCTCTAATTCTAACCTCCTTTTCTATAATCTATGCTATCCCAATGCCTCTTAGTCTCCTCCCATCTCCCTTGCCAGTCTCAATGACCTCCTCCAGAAACCATCCTCCCCAACCCTCATCTCCCCACCCCACA